AGAAGTGGAAGTTTTAGTCATAGACTATTGTTGAAGCGACAGCATTAAAATCTAACCAGCACATGGAAAACATCGAACATTGTACAAACTCAAACTCATCCAACTTAAACCCTTACTGTTGAAAGATGTTAATATAACATCTGTTACATCTGTTTGCTTCTCTTCCTGCTCTAAGCATCAAAAAGTCAATGGGATGCTGTTTACTAATCATTTTACTAATACTGAAACCTCACGAATGATTCAAGAACTAAAAACTTCACGTTCATATCAATATTTCCACCTCAAACTCTAAATGCTTTTTGTATCGAAGAAAGTATGCATGGCAGCTCCCTCTGCACCCAGTGGTACTGACTTAGTCCGTTGTGTGAAAGGTTGAAAATAATTTGTGACACTGGCAAAACTGAAGAGAAATGGTATGATTTCCAGATCAACATCATTTAAAAAATACTTTGGAACAAAGTGGAAATGAAGATGTAATTTTTTTAAGTAATATTTTTTTAAAAGAGGATCCAGTTCTTAATTCAGTTCTTACACTAGTATATCCTCAACCATAAAACTTCTTAAAAGGATTGAGATAATTTTTTTAAAATATTATAGATTTTATATTAATTAGTTTTAAGGTGTGATATAAATAAGGATGTCAGCATGCATATTATTTACATCTGGCTGATGTTTAATTCTGACATCCCTGTTTAGTGCCCAACTGGATTTGCTAAACATGCTCAAGTCCCCAAATGTTTCATCAGACCCCAGAGATACAGGCTGTCTGCTCAATAAATCAGGTGCTCTGACACCGGGCTGGGAGTCTAAGCTCAAGCTTATTTCTGGAGAAATCAGTCTTTGTAATTTATTTGCCAATTTATTAAGCATATATCTATTTGAAGCATCATCCTCCACCACCTAGTTTAAGCAGCACTGTTAAACACCCTAAAGCCCATAGCACCGAAATCCCCTTTCCATGTGATTTTAAACAGCATTTATCTTAGAAGTAAAATAAAGATGCAAAGCTAAAGCAACAGTCACCTCAGCCAAAACAATCTCACTCTCAAGTTTTATGGAAAAAAATAAAGAAATATCACTGTGTTGCACTACCACCATACATATTATTACGTATCACCAGAAATAGTAGCACTATTCACACCTACAACCACCTGGTAAGCCTTTAATTGTTGCTATTTTTTTTCCTCAGTGCACTAAAAATACCATCAGATCTTAAATGGGGCTATATTCCTTCACATGTCCTTTGATAATTTCCTATAGCACTACACTATAATGAAGGAGCAACAAACAAAAGCAGGTTGTACACATGCAAGTATCCATCTCGGCCTCTACTAAGAGATTACTCATAAAAACCAGACCTATCCCAATAAGTAAATTATGTCAACATTGGTCTAGGATATCTCTTAAATGTTGAAGTGTTCTTTCTTGTCATCATCTAGTATGCAATACTTGTAAGATCTGTTTCTAAGCTATTGTTCACACCTACCAAATATCAGACCTGTCTGTGCTTTCTTAAAATGCCACTGTTTTAAGCAATAATTCCATTACAACTTAGCAAGATTTTCCCAAGTCTTACAAATCAGTTCAGTGTTACTTCAAATGAAAGCTACAGCAAATTATATTATTGCGATACTTTTATAATTTACAAATTTTGATAGATATCACATGCTAATAAGATGAGGCAATCCTTATTACAAGAAATAGGGTGGATTTCTTAAGAAAAAAGTAGTTTTGTTTGTTGGGGTTTTTTACATAGCTGATGCATGTATTGTCTGGCTTATAGCATTTTAAGTGCAGGACATCAAAACTGCTTTAGTATCTCATGCTGTACAATTTGGGGCTGAGGGAAGGTGAAAGAGGGTTGAGGTAACACAATACAATGATAAAATGAAGAAGATAAAAACAAGAACTGAGTAGGAAAGATGCATCAGTATTATCACAGAAAAGGAAAAAACACACAACAAAAAACCCCCAGTAACAACCTCTAAGATTGCAAAGAATGAAAGACAAAAGACTGCTAGAGAATAGCAGCCTGCTTTCAGAAAAGAATCAGAAAATGCAAAGCAAAGCTCATCAAACAATTCTTTTCCCCAAGTGATCAATTCTCTGCACAGCCCATTAGACTCTACTCTTCCTCCTCCCCAGCAGCCTACAGCTGACAAAGTAAGTGGGAGGGGATTAGGACAGGAGTTTTTTCTGGAGTAGTCCACCTTCCTAGCTTGCAAGATACTAAAAACTATATATTTTTGTGGGGTTTATTTTTTTTAAACGTCTATCTTTAAACTCAGTAAAAGTGAAACCTCAAGAACTCTAAGGATGATTTCAAACAGCAGGGAATGAGATACCTGTAAAAGAGAAAACTGAGGGTTACAAAGCAGAATAGGTAGGATGATGAAGAATGAAAAAGCAGTTAGGAGAGGCACACCATGTCTTGTGTACAGTAAGTCTTCTTGGAACTCCTGCTGAAAACATCTATGTAAGTGTGAAAAAAACCCTCACAGAATGTAAACTGAGTCCTTCAGAGAATATATTATGATATTAACCTGTCTGAACTATAATTTTTCTAAGATAAATAAAAATATTGACCTTTATCAGCAGAACTGCTAGGAATATCATATATTAATATCTACTTTCATACTAACCAGATCAAGTCTGAAGAGGTCTGTTTTAAAAACACATTCATAGCTACTCATCAACCCGATTCTGCGTTCATATTGATGCCAGTTAGTTACAAGTCCTTAGACAGTTTCAGCTGTGCTATGGAGAGGTTTTCCATGATTTACATATATCACATTCGTGTATCTGTAACATGACATAGTACTGTGCTTGTATTGAATGTTTGTATCCTGGAATGCCTCTGCACTTAAAAGTGGGTTAGAAAGAAAATGCTCTTCATAGTCCCTGAAAGGACAAAAAATATTTCAAGAGTATAAACAGTAGTTTAAATGCTTCGTTTTTTACAGCTAAGCTTAATCATTCTTTTATAATTTATTTCAAGTCAGAAGACACGTGGTATGGAGAAGAAACAGATTTCTTCAGAGAATCTTTTACAATTGAGGGTATCTTCTTTCTTCCTCAAGTAAAAATTGAAGAAATGTGTCTATATTTTTCTCTTTACTAAATATAATAAAGCAAAATTCACAACCTTACTATCCAAAATAATTTTTATAGTTCAGAAACATTCGGTTTCACCACCTTGCCAATGAGCACAAGAATTGCAACAAAAAGAAGCAGGTAGCTTTAAAACCAAGCTGCCATACCACATACAGGCATAATCCATCATGCTGAAAAAAGGGGTGAACATTTTATGCCACTTTCAAGTATTTTTTTATCATTCTGTATGTTCTAAGTAAATTGTACATTTCTCAGTAGCAGCTGACATTTTCACCTGATATCCCAGGTTAAAAATCAATGAGTACAACACTGTCCCTCTCAAAACAAACATTCCAACTCACAGAACTGGGGACAGAGAAATGAATGTACAGATCTCTGTGTTCACTTGTCAACCAGCCTGTCTCCCAGCCTCCCTAAAAAGGGGTACTTTTCCTCTTAACCTCTTTGAGGGATTTATTCTCTTTGCCTTCTTTAAGGCAAGGTGAGACTTGGCCAAGACCCAGCTGACAGGACAACCAAGCCAAAGGAAGCCAACACTGTTTCCATCAGCACCATACTGAGCAACAACAGGAAGGACAAAGAGACTCTCCTGCCCCTGGCAAACAAATAGCTCCTTCTTCCAATAGCTTCTTCTCCCACAAGAAATGGCTTATAGAAGAACCATCTCATTGCCATAATTTGAACAAATAAGGTTTTGCTCAAGGTGCTAATGAAACATGCAAGAATTTTAATTAAGAACAAAGCTTCTTGTAGTACCTATTCTAACCAGTGCTGTTCATGAGCTTTAATTCATGTAATGAAACCTGGTTTTTAAATAAGTTTTAGAGAATAGAATTACATAGATATCCTATTCAGACCAGGATCCACAACACTTTCAGTACAAGAACAGGTGAAGAAAAGGATAATCCTTGCTGTTCCCATTTGCTTGATTTCTATTATTATACATAATTATTTTAATAAACCTAATATTTTGACAGATATATAAAAGGGAAATAAATAAAAACATTTAGAGAAAAGAGAGGGATGGGGAATCTTCCTGTTCTTTAAGACCATCATTGTATTTCCTTTCATAAATGGATTATGGTCTCCTCACAGCACAGTAAAGCCACAGAAAACAACTCAAATCACTAGAAAAAAACCGAACCCCAATTCCTGCTCTTTTGCAGTATCAAAAGCAAAGATGCTGCTCACAGCATGGTCTGCACACTGCTTGGCTCCCTGAAAGCTGACCCACTCTTCTTACTATTTCAGCAGCTATTAAGGCAAGTCACAGTAAGTGACAACCTCTCATGTAATGAGTTTTACACTGTTGCCTTTTGGTTGGGTTTTTTTTTACATGTAAATGCTGATCTGCATATGAATGTTTTTCTTCTACTGCATCTGTTTGGGAATCTCAGGCTTCCAAAAAATCTGTACTCAACAGCTCAAAATGAATACATAAAGTTTCAATATTTTAAGACAAAAAACCTAGAAAAAAAATTTAAAACTATCAGTGAAGACAGGAAAATCTGATTAAGATGCATGTAATTTGAGAATAGGATGAATGTAGCATGTAAGTTTCCTGCCCATTTTTAAGCTGTATACTTCAGGGTAAGGATGTATATATGCCAGTTGATACCACAGAGTAAAAGGTGCCCCAATAAATCATAAAACAGTCACTATTTCTGTAACACCGTAAAGATATCCAGGTTTTCAAACTTAATTTTTAAGGCTTGGGCACTCATACGAACCTCCTGCTACATTATTAAGCTCCACACAAGTCAATGCAAAGGCATACAACTATTCACTACTTTTACCCATTGTTTTGCTCTAAATAAATAAAAACAATGATACAAGACCCAAGATAAACAAGCTGCCCACTAGTTTATTAAGCAAAACAAACTTACACATCTGTTTCACTGCATGCAGGCCGCTTCATTTGAGGTTACAGACTTGCTACTCAAACTTAATGATGAGATGATTGTATCTAAGGAAAAGAAGAAAGTAATTACTATTAATGTTTTCTTTAAACATGTCAGCTGTCACAGTGGCAAGTCATGGGATGTTTCAAGTTTCTCTTTAGGTGAGAGCTCCAGGAGTTACAGTTACATAACTGGCTCTTGCCTTTCTTCAAATCCCTAGCCCTCATAACTGAAAAAGAAAAATTAGACATTTTCACCTCTACAGCTCCAGAGCAAAAAAAAAAAAAAACAACCAAAAACTCCCTCCCACATGATTACTAAAAAAATTTTGAAGTCAAATTTTTATACTTATCTTGGCACTGCTCCATTTTTTTATGCCTATGCTTAATGAAACGGAGTCTACACTACATGCAAGACTTCAAAGAAGCTTGCCAACACCTTTCAATGCACTACAGGATTCACCTGGCATCTTGTTACACCTCCTCTCCACGAGCTGAACATATTGCTTACACACTGCACCTACCATGTGTATTAATCAACATGCAATAGTATATGATCAACAAAAGATTATCATTCCCCGTGTATGAGAAATGAGCAATTGCAACTGGAGCATATTAGGTCACATATTTTGACTTAGTAACAAAACAGACTGAAACAGTCTATCATAGGACACATTTTCAGAGTTTTGCAATTTCAGTCCCACTGACCATTACACACACGAGTGCCACTGTGCAGAGGCCCCAGCTCTCATGCTGCCCCAGTACACTTAAAAAACCCAACACAGTCAGCTAAGAAATCTTTTTGACACTTCAGAAAATCCAGAAAGTAAGCTTTGACTCCAAATCCAAATGCAGAAAGAGCTGGACTCTGAAATGCTTAATGGTCAGGATGCCACTTTGTCCTCTTTTCTAAACTTCATATGGGTCAAGCATCAACAGGAGTTAAATCTGCAAAGCACTCTCCCCACCAGTCAGTGATTACTGCTCTTAATCAGACTGTGAGGTGTTTAATGATATATATGTATATACACAGACATATCCACACTTAGGAAGGCGAACACCTTTCAGAGGGCAGAGTCCTGATAGATGGCTTACTGTGCGTTATGAAATGAATTATATGTAACTTCTTTGACTAACATTTTTACTTAAAAATACCTCTGTAGTGCCTCTTAAGCAAGTGAAACATCTCCAGAGGCTGCTGCTTAATTTGACTGTTGAGACACTTCAGCTATCCCTATTACAGCAACATTTAAATAATGTATACAGAGAAGAAGGTGTCAGGCAAGCAGACAGAGACCCACCCGCTCAACACAGGGTGCTCAGGGGAGTAGTTCGGGAACTCTCCCCAGATGTGGATTAAGTTCCTCAGGCAAAGCAGGGAAGTCAACCTGGCTCTCCCACATTCCTTGCAAGTGCCCTAGCCATCAGACTACAGGCACGATACAAGTAGAAATATGCATCTTTGTGCTCCCTGATGTCTTTAAAAAACAACACCAAAACCCCTCACTGCTTTCCTTCCCATTTTTCTATTCTTTGATTTGTTCAAGATGACTATAGTTTCAAGCCAGGCCAAAGATTTCACTAAATTCAAATCAATGTTTGTGTTTTCTTGATTGTTTATTTTAGTGAGAAGAATAACAAAGAAAAAGTCATTTTAGCTGGGTCTCAGCTTATTTTCTTTAGAGGCAAACACTGATTCAGAAAACAGTATGCAGAATTGCAGCAACAGGTAAGCAGCATAATGATTGGCAATCTATTTAAATGAACCTATTTGGGGCAAAACTGGCACAAATTCTTTGATCATTGTCACATGAGAGAAATACATGAGTAACTTTAAATCCCTTTTATGGTACAGTTTGTAAAGAATTGCAAAAAAGTACTGCTAAATATGTCCAGCTATTAAACGAAGCCTATTTACAGTCATAATTTTCAAGCTATTGACTACTGAAACCCAGAACAGGCTTTTGTATTGAATGTAGAGAAAATCTGAGCACTCAGGGCAAAAATTATTCTAACACCAAAGGAAAAATATATCTGTATGACACTGGTGAAGGCAAACTAACAGACATGACTCAAAAAAAACAGAATCCAACAAACTTTCAGGCAGTTGTAACAATGGACTAGTAATCCTCTAAACCTTCAGAGAGGGATCATCCAACCCTACAGCAGAGGAAGGGAAAGAGGTGAGAGATGGAAGGGACACAAATGTGCAGTAATCGCTAAAGAGAGCACACAGGCTGGAAGTATATATAAAGATTATAGTAATAATAATATTTCTTATGTCAACATCCACTGAAAACCACCCTTAAAGAGATTATAGTAAAGACTGATACTTCACTTTTCAGTATAAAAAAAAATCACTATTTATTCTGAATTATCTTGCATAATAATAAAGGCCTTAAAAATCAAGCTGTCTCCCTGTTGTCGCTTTAGCAGCCCATCATATTGTGAACAATCTCATCACAAAAAAACAAAACAAAACCACAACAATACTACTGTGGTTAAACTATGTATCACACTAATTTAGGAGGGAAGTTCCTTCACTTCAGTGGAAAAAAAAAAATGCCAAAAAAGCCCACAGTAAAAGCTTTAGTTGTTCCTGCTTCTTGACATATGAGCTTTAAACTCTGGATTTCACTTGAAAACTACCTTTAGACCACAGGAAATACTCAATTTTTTCACTAATTGATTGAAATTGAACAATTCCATAGTTGTGAATCGAGCAATACTGAAATTGCCAGCAGCAAATGCAAAATAAACAGCCAAAAATGTGCAGAAAACAATACACATCGTCTACATGAGAATGCTCTCTTTGGGAAGTCTGTTTTAAAAGTGTACGCTACAACAGATAACTTCATGTAAATTACATTATTTGTGCCAATACTACTAAAATACCTAGATTGTCCCTACTTTGGGAAAATATGTCAGTCATGAAGACGAGTTAAACACTTTGCTCTATATTTTGCAAAATTCCCCGCTAAACTATCTACAATACTGTTTCTTATATAAGCCTAAGCCAATATATATGTATCATCATACTATTTGAATAAAGCTGATTATTTTAACTGTACATTAGTGGCAACCCCATAGCACAATATGCTCACTTTGAAGATAAGAACTCACAAAAATTATAAGCAAGCTGCAAAAAAACAGGATTTACAAAATCTCCTCTATACAGAGTCTTCACTGCAAGAGGTGGTAAAAAAAGCAAGCTGTTGGGAGATAAAACGTGCATTCTTTAACTCAAACTTTCTCAGAGCAAAAACAAAAAATTCTAAGAAGTTAATTTCCAAGAAAAAGGGAGAAGAAAACAGAAAGAACCAACAGGTTCAAAGGACACTTCCTTCTCTAATACCTTGTTTTTAAAAATATTTGGCAGGTGGATATTCTACTTCAGTGGGTGGACAATTTCAAATAAAAGTGCAGAGTTCTGTATCTTCAAAGGCCCTGTTTAAGTCTTAGTAATGTGTTACGTCTTCTGAAGTAGACCCCTCAGTCTTTTGACACTGGCTGTTCTGCAAACACAATTCTTTCTCAGGACATTTACTGTCTTGGTTTAAAATGAGCCTTAATAGATGGAAACATCAGTGAGAGGGTGTAGAAGACAAGGTAACAAAGACAGCAAACATCACTCTAAGTTCATCACCTGTCTAGCCTTCTGCTGTTCTATACTTTGCCTTTCACATTATCACAGAGGATGCTGTACCTGTCACAATTTGGCTTTATACAGATGTCAGGAGTGAGCAGTTTGGCTGTTTAAAGAAACACCATCAAAGGCACTGGCAAAAGCAGGGTTTAATATCAATATATGAAAATACAACTTTACATGGTTTGATGGCAAGGCTCACTCTACTACTTACTACACAGACTAAAGCACACAAAGGAAGATCAAATAAGAAGTAATTTGGAATGATTTACACAAAAGCTGGGAATGCAAAGGAGGGTAAGAGTGCAAAGGATATGCATGCAAAGATAAGCATGAAAAAGGGTTTAGCGGCACTTAGTCATTGAGTACTTAAACATTTACAAAGCAATCTGATAAATGTCATTACAGTTATAACAATGATTTAAGTACAGATTTGAAATAGTTACATTCCTACTATAATCAATTCACACACACAGACGTAAAACAATGTGTAAATCTATTTCTATGTCTATAAAGGTACCTATCAAAAAGTCCCCTCAAGTTCAGTGAAATATTTCAAATCCCTTTGTGTTTCCCCATAGGCAAGGGCTGCACCCTGAGAAACATGGTGATGGAGGGGAGGGAGAGATAATTCTTTGAGTATCAGACTTGAGGATTTGTGAGCTCTGAGAGGTGTCCCACCAGAGGGAGGTGATGGCCTCACTTGGGAGGGCTGTTTATAGGGTCACAAGATGACTGACTTTGGTCATCAGTAAGTTTCCATCCTGGCCATAAACCAAGTCAGTAACTACTGGGCTTTTTTCCCCAAAGTGCAGTAACAATGGTACCGTTCCACTTGGGCTACCATTCAGGTAAATGGTTTACCAAGGCTACAAAGGATAATTGCTTATCCTTTGTTTCCCACCTTTACCATGCCAGAGCTCCTGGTATGATCAGGGAGTACCTCATGGCCCAGCTGGTACAGTCAAGGGACGCTTCACCACTCAGCCGGTTCGGACAGGGCTTATCAGGAGCTTCCAAGTAGGCAGAGCAGTCACGAGGATGGGGGGGTGGTACACCACCAGAAGTAAAAGAGTAATTGTTATTCAAAAGTACTTACGTTTAGAAAACTTTTCTTTGAAATGCTTAGTTTAGATATTTCCTTTTACTTTCATTTTACTTATTCTCAATCAATTCTTACTTTTCACTGCTCTGGAGAACTTCTATGGAGTAAATTCCTCAACATCTGTGAAAGTTGGAAGGTACTTGCAACACTAAGTATCAAAGTAGATAGATATCCAACTGTATGAAAACTGTCAGCACCTTGCCTATTGGTCTTCTACTTAGCAAACAGCACTCAAGTTTCTAATAGTCCACAAAAGAATTTATGCTGCTTTTAATATAAATGAAAAGATGCAAGATTTTTCTGCTGCAAAACCAATCTCCATAGCAGATAATAACTAGAATGCCCCTACCCAGTATTATACAAACACAGGCTTCCCAGGAGCAGTGTGGTATCTTGGGGATAGTTGATAAAGTCTTCCAGACTTCACTCCCCCAGTATGTGCTCCAGCAACATCCTCCCAAGGGTGCACATCTGTCCTTTAAGTGAAACGCTCCTTTACTGGAAATAACCCTTAGAAGAAAAGAGCTGTGTTCACCCTCTTGAAAAGCAAAACACATGCAGAGTGGGCCTTACAGACAACACCACCTAAAGCAGGTCTGTGAACTACATTCATGTTATGGGGACTTGAAACGCTTTCTCTGCTTGGCATTGCAGTTGTAGCATGACAGCTCAGGCTAAATTACTGAAATCTCTCAAAGATATCCCTCAGAAACAAGAGACGACTGCTTCTAACACATAAGCACCAGACAGAAAGAGCTCTACACTGCAAAGTCAAACCCTACTAAACTTAGCAATGATAAGTAAAATGACCATTAATACAGTAATAAATGCTTTTACACTTTCAGTAGGCTGTACGTGCAGCAAACAACTTTAAGTGTATCGGACACCCTCTGGAATCCAGCAAGCATTCTAACGCAGCCAGTCTAACATAGGCAGCTCTCTCTGAATAGGTCCAGGAGTTAGAGAAGACACTTATAAGTAAAATTACCACGCCCCAAATAGAAAACGAGAGCAGCAGTACATGAAAGCTAAATCTTGCACTTTTCCCAGGCACCTCTCTTGAGCGACTCTGCCCCAGAGTGTCGGGACTGGAGCCTCTCCGCACACACGCAGAGACGCGGTGTTTACGCGGCGGCCGAAGCCCTGGCGGGCGCCTGCCCACCTCGTGTCCCGTGTTCTCGGGGGGAGACGCTTTTTGGGATTTCCCGGGATTTCCGAGGCTTTCCGGTGCCCGACCAAGGAGCCTATGCCCGAGCGGACCGCGGCGCCCGGGCAGGGCCGGTCCGCACCGTGCGAGGGCGGTGGGTCGTCCGCTCCGGGCTGCCAGGCCATCTTGGATCGGGGTGGCAGCGGCCACATGGTCCCCACTCCCTCCGCGGGCCCGGCTCCCGCGGCCCCGCCAGAGGGACCCGGGGGCGAAGCCCCGGCGGGTCCCGCCGGCCCGGCCCGACCCGCACACAAAGCCGGGCGGGTTCCGGGCGCGGCCGGCGCCAGGGCGGGCACTACTGCCGGGCATAGGGCGATGGAGCCCCTGGGGCGGCCCAGCCAGCGCCGAGTCCTCGAGTCCCCGGGCACCGGCGGCCTCCGCCTGCCGGACCAGCCGGACCCCCCGCGGGGCCCCGCAGACAATGGAACCAGCACCGCGGGCCTGGTCCCCGGCTCCCTGCGCCGCCCCACGCCCCCCGCCCGGCCTGGCGGCGCTGTCCCGCGGGCGCTCCCGGCCGGGACGCGGCGCCGGGCCCGGGGCGCGGGGCCGCAGCCGCGCAAAGCACCGAGGCCGCCGAGGCCAAACGCGGCGGCGGGCGCGGGGGGAGCGGCGGGGTCAGGGCAACAGCGACCGGACCAGACCGGACCGCCCCACCCCGCCCGGTGCCCTCCCGGTGCCCGAACGATGCCACTCACCTCCCCGGGCGGCCGCCGCGGGGGAAGCCGAAGGTAACCACTGCCGCCGCCCGGCCGGGCCCGAAGGAGTTAAGAGGAAGGGCCGGGCGGGCCCGTCCCATTCATTACCCGGGCTTTGTCTCGGCCGCCGCCGCGCTCGGCAGCTGCCCCGGCTCGGCCGCCGCGGGGCGCGCGGCGCAGGCGCGGGGGGCGGTGCCACGCACGGCGCGCGACATGTCAGCGCGCCGCGGCCGCAAAATGGCCGCTTCCGAAAGGGCGCCCTCCGCGCTGCCCCCGCCGCGCTCCCAGGGCGGCTGAGGGCGGTGTCCGCGGCACCTCTGAGGGTGGCGGGCCGGGGCGGTTCCTGCGGTGCTTCAGGCCTGGGAGGGTCTCCGCGGCCTCTGCCTGGCCGGCTGTGCCTTCCCCAGGAGGCCACGGGCGGGCGTCCCGCAGTCCCCTTGGGCCGGGTGCGGAGAGGCCTTGCTGGGCATCGCTCCCCGGGAGCGGGCACAGGGCCCGCTGCCCCGAGCGCAGCCCTCGCTTTGTCATGAGCTCACCCTCCATTACGCGTGTTCACATTTATAGAGACACACCGTGATGTGTCCTCGTGGTTTAGTGCACAGCGTGTTTGGTTCTGGGCGCTGTTTTGCTGTATTTGGTCTGCCTCGGGAGGAGCCCTTCGCGCGGCACTTGAGTCCGAGCCGCGCGGCCGTCCCAGGGAAGGATGTTCAGGGGTGGTGGAAATGCGCTGCGGCCGTTCAGGGAAACAGTGACCAGTTACGTGCTTGAGGTCTTACTCTGGATAAAGCTCCTTCAGTTTTGGTGTTGACTTGTAGGTCGGTGGTTGCCTTCTCCAGCTGAGAAACGTTAGTCAAGGTTGTTAATAATCTAAATGATCCAAGTTTTTCAAGTAGAGTGAAGACAAAGAACGGTGATGTTTTGGGTTCTTTTAATGTTTGTCTTTTCTACAGAGTTGAGCAAGATGTGATCTGGTATGAATTTGATATTTGTTGTCAAATTCCCAGTGGCAGTCATAGATTTTTACTGCTTTGACTTAGGTCTCGTTATGTATAATAGCTCGCTTCTTATCCTTGGGAGTGAAAACAAGACAAAACATTAACAGTACTGGTTTGGAAATAGCGTTAAAATTTACATTAAGACAATATTTAGATAAATAGTGCTTAAGGAAGTACTTGTTTTTTGATCTGAGTTGTTCTCATCATTTGGTTGATTATGGTTTTTTTTTAATTTCAACAGGTTTAGTAAAAAATATTTTGGTTGGATATATGGCAGCATATGAAGAAATCAGTTGATATTGAGTCAGTTGAAATCAGCTAATTTGAAATAGTGGAGCTCTTGAACATTTTTCCATAGAATTAGTATATTAGTGTATCTTAAGTACTGGTGTGTTTTTTTTAAATGGATGGTCTAGGCCAATATGAAGTAAATTATCTGTTATGGCTAATACTTCCCTTGGAAGTCTTATGTTAAGTTCTTTTTTAATTCATGCACTACCTAAATTCCCAAGAAAATAGTTGTTACACTGTGTGCTGGCAGTCCTTCTTTGTTCCTTATTACAGCTTTTTAATTTACAATTTCTTTTTATTGATACAGTTGACCTGAGAACCAATCAGTGATTCACTATATAATCTGCAGATGTGTATCATAGATTGAGTGAAATAACTGGAGTTTCTTTCCATTTTACAAAAATACACTGGAAACTCAAGAAATTAGGTCTTAAAAATCTGAGCAAAGCTGGGGCCAGAAAGTCTTTTCTCAAACAACCAAGTAATATGAAGAATAAAAAAAAGATGATGATCTGGTGACAGGCAGAGTAAGTAACTAATTCCTAGAGAAGGCTCCAGACTGCCAGCTTGTGGTGAATGTAGTAGCATTGTGTAGCAATAGCCTGAAGATACAGATTTTCCATAAAGCTTGAAGTCTGAGGGGTAAGTATTTGAAAAAACATAGTCATTTAGAAAGATGGATTATTAGGAAAATCTCTGCAAGGCATCCTCATGGGAAGAACCCAAAACTTCTATAATTTAACTTCAGAAGAGTATGTTTTTTCTCTCTTTTCACTGATCTAAGCCTTTACAAACTTGTTATCTGTTTCAGATACTGTGACTAAACATTTGCATGTTTAACTGACCCTGGCATATATTAAAAGTGATCTGATACTAAGTGAATATAAAAAAGTGATTTCTTAGTCCAGTCCCTGCAAACTGCAAGTACTGGGCTCCCCATTATGTTTTGTAGAATAGCGAAAAAGGAGACCATGCTGCCAAATAAACTGGGTTTTCTGGAAAATAGGTCTTACAGGTTCAGAGAAGGAAACATCTCCATAGTAACTGTAAGTAACCAGTTCCCAATACTGGGGTGCAGCTTGAACTTGGAAGGCTCCTGGGAAAAGCTGTAACAAGAGCCTAAAATGAGTTGGAAACTAATTTAGGTTCTTGTATTCTATCCTACTGTGACATAACTTAAAATATGCCTTAAATGCACCTATTTCTCTGTCAGTATTATGTTATTAGCCAATTGTAGATGTTCAATGCTGCAGACAGAGCTTTTGTAGTGCTTTGTGGTCCCAGGGTCTTTCCAGTCATTTGGCTGTTCATCTTAATCTTCTTTTTACTTCTTCCTTCCATTTCTTTCTTGGTAGTAAATGTAACACTGATAGTGCAGCGACAAATTGACAAATTGATGTAGTTCTTTCTGAGTTTGTATACCTTTGGAAACATTAAATATTTTAATGGCATACTGATAATACCAGTGTTGTAAGTAGCAACCATTTTGATGCCATTACCTCGTTTTAGCAAAATTAAGCAATTAACAGTTATCTCTAAACCTGCTCTGATAAGCTTCTTTTCCTTACTGAATCACTCAAACCTTTGGCTTCACCTCTAGTAACTTCTGCATCAGTGATGCATTTTCCAGATGAAGTCATGAAGACAAACTGTATCAAGAAATAATAGTTTTTAAACCAAGCACAAAGAATTGCTGCCTTTTATATGCACTGAGGTAATACATTTAACAAAATTATGTCTTTTCCTCCTTGTATAGACTCCAGTCTCTTCCAGGAACCTATCTAGGCAATGTCAACCTAATGATCAAAACCTTAAAATAGAGGTCAGAAGTACTAAATTTGGATGTCCAATTTAGTATCACAAGGGTACAATTTCTAAGAACACTAAACATAGGAAAGTACTTATATATTTAGCATACATACCCATTTACATCGGTGGGCACTTGTCTCTGCTGATCAGATCCAAGGTGTCAAGGTGGGTGCTCAGGAAATAAAGAATGACCAATTACATAGTAGTTGTGAGCAAGCATTCAGTGCCAAAACCGCAGTGCCCTCATGCATTTATTTTAATTACCTCACTTGTTACTAACACAGCTGTCTAATATCTTTATCATCCTCAGTTTATAGCACATCAGAGATGTATGTCAGTGACTTGACTTGGAGCTGAGCATATAATAGCATATTCACAGGATTTATTCATATTTACCCTTTATGTGGAGTTAGGATGGTGCTGGAAGGTCTTTCAGGAGTGCTCAATTGGAAGTTCCTATTCTAGGACTTTTTTTCGGTCTGTTGAGATTCTGTCATGCTATGAAACCACATTATGTATCAAAACTGATTTATATATGCATGAGTTTGGAAGTTCTCTTTATTATCCAGCATCAGGCACTTACCAAGGTGGTAGAATGTCTGAGACAAAGCAAAGTTGCACAGGGCTCATTACTGTTTTTAAATGATGCATACAAGTCGGGTTTCTCTGAAGGAAAGAGAGGAAGTTACGAGCCTTGGTTGTTTGGGTTTTTTTGTGGGTGGTCGTGTATTGAATCTTGTTTCCAAGTTATTTTTCACTTTGTTTTTCCTCCCCAGATTTTGGTGTCACATCGCCTTGTAGTCCTTCTTCATGTAAATGAGGAGATAAGGTTTTAATTCTGAATAAGCCCATCTATTTTTGGATTTCTTCTGTGATAAATGACTAGGGATTCTGACAGCTGAGCTTCCTCCATTGCATATCGTCTTGATCATCTGCAAACCAGGTTTGTCCTCTAGAAGGAATGAGGAAGAGGTAATAAAATAATTAAGACTGGATTTGGGTCTCATTGCTGATTGAATTTTACTGAGGCTGAAGTATTAACTCATTGTAAATATTGGATGTTGTTTCTTAGAGATACATGTTTGTGAGTGACCTAGCTAGGAAAACAACTTCCCTCAGAGTTTATACTTCATCTCATATTACACTGGCAAGTTTTAATACTGACAGCAAAGAAATTGAGAATGGAGAAGTCACTCTAAGGGATTCAATAAATAAAAGAGACTTTATGTATTATTAAATTTTATGAAGGCAGTGAGCAACTTGTCTTTGCTTGGATGAATGCTGTGTAGAGGATCCTTCCCAGTGTAGAAGAAATGATCAGGAAGTAGATCCTAAAGGATCCTGAGGAGAAGGCAACAATGTATTTGCATTAATATTGATTTACATGGGTTATGCTGACTTAAGCAGTTACCTGAGTTTGGGATAAATGGAATATCTTCTGAAATCTAAACCTGATCAGGAGAACAGCCACAGGGAGAAATAGAAATAAAATAAATTAAATTTCTCAAAAATCATTGTGTATCAGATATATGTGTGGAACCCACTCTGTTTTCCCTTTGCTGTGGCTGCATTTGACAAAAATGTTCAGTTCAAATAGGTCCTTTTTTTTTGTTGCGTTAACTTCCTCAGCCTGTCTTGCAAAAAAAGGTCAAAATCCAATGTAGATTGTTTGGCCACACTGTTTTGTAATTCTTTGCTATGCAAGTATGATATTTTTAGAACTTTTTGCTTAGCAATTACTGGTTTGCTTTTTGATTCCTACCCATTACTGCTGATGTTCTGTCTTTGCCCGTAACTTGGCTCAGTTAGTTATGCTGTGTGAATCGAGCATAGACAGATTCCAATTCTAAACATGCAGCTGCTTTTGTAAGCTGAACTAATGACAGCTAATAACTAGGAAGGGGGAATTCCCAAATCCTGGATTTACTTCATTGCTGCTCCCGTGTGCTGGCAATTGTTTTCATCTGATCATGCAGGGAGGAACTTCTGGGAGCTAAACAGAAAATAGGTGACTTGTTTATGAAGGGTTGTTCTGATGGCTGTTATCCTGTGGCAGGAATAGCTTCCCACAAAGACCTTTGCAGGTGGAGCTGCTACGCAGAACATAATAAAGGTGCCAAACTGTAAACACTAGGAATTGAATAATGCCAAAGAGGCAATGATGGAAGAGAAGGAGAATGCAGCAGCATTATTGTATGTAAGAGTGCACATAACTGTTCCAAGGGTTTGTTCTTGATAAAACAGTCTCTAAAATAGTAGATGTGTTTGCTGTTTAGACAACCTACAGGTGAGTAGATGGGCAAGCCTTGTGCTTGTGCTGCGGCATTTTGTAATTTGGGTATTTTTTTGTTTTATATCATTGAAGCATAGTTTACATGTTTTCATGTATATCCCAATAGTGAACTTTGTTTGGATTTGTTCTGTTTTGTTTTTTTTTAAATCTTTGCAGTGTCCGTAGGGGTGAGCTCGAGCCTCACCTTCCATCATGTGACAGTTACGAGCACATATCGTAGAGAGTGTCTTCTAACTGCAAAATCTTAAAGGTACATGATGGTGAAGGATCCAAGCTAGGTAGTGGATAAGTAATGCAGGAAATAGGTTTCCCTGTCAATTGTGTATCTCAGCAAAGTGCTTGACATATCTTTCTGTGTACATACCTCTTCTTGCAGTAGGTGACTCCAAGCAGTAGTTCCAATAAATGGTTAAATGGAAATGGGGTAAGGGCCTTTGCATAGCAGCTCTACCATTGAAGACCACTCTGTCAAATGATCTTCAAGTCTTATCTATAGATAACATTCCATAGGACTGCTTAGCAGATGCAGCTTAGAGAGATATTTCTTAGCAAGCACGTTGATGTAGCCTGAGTTCTGGTGGAGCTCTGATAAAAGGGCTCTGTAACTTTATCAGTACCATAAAAGGCATTGACATAGCTTCCAGACTGTTTAAAACTTGTGTTTTGGTAAAGACTGTTTGTTTGGATCAACACAAATTGTTCCAGAGGGTCAGACTAAAGGGTCTCACCAATTTTATAAACAGAGAACCACTTTGACACTGAGAAAGGTGGTACATGCAGGAAATGAAAGTTAGTGAGGCCTTAAGAAACAAAACATCTTTGTTTCCTTAGTAGTTGGTGAACATGATGAACACCAATATCATTCCATCTTTACTCACCGTTTTGTCACAGTACAGCCAGAACTTCCAGATCAGCAGAGTGAAAAGGAGAATATCCAGACAGTTCTTCCTAACTAGAGAACAACAAACACGTTCACTTAACATGTAGGAGTTAAAAGGACCAATAATTTTCTTACATATTTGAAGCAAAAAGTTTGGTTTTCATTCTAGAATTGTCATACGGGACTTTGACTATATTCCACTCAGTCTATTATGAAAAAGAAGTCAGTCTTTCTGCCAAGGTATCAATGATAACTAGGAGATGGATCAGTGATAGGTGGATTTTTCTGTAAATGTAATAGTTTGCAAGGATCACCCAGAAGATTTGGAAGAATGCTGCACTACCTCACAGACTGAAAAAACAAACAAACAAAAAAACAACACCTGAGGTTTGGTCAGCACACAATGCTGTAATATGTCTTTTGATAGGGTTACAGCATCTTTTCCACAATGAATGCTGTTCTGGCTTCTGTGAGGTTTGGGAACAGCCTTTCTTTTGTGAACTTGCAAAGTCATGCCCATGAGTATTGTACGGGTGCCACATACAATGATGAGGTAAGTGAGGTCTAAAAGCATTCCTGTGTAGGATGAAAGGACCATGGTAATGTTGTATCTCATGAGACGGAATTCTGAATTAATCATGCGTAGATAAGTTTGAAGGTGTAAATTGTACAGTGGGGAAACCAAACTTGAAAACTTATTAGTGATAGATTGGCTTGAGACATCGTATGGAGGCATCACATGCAAGGTTAGGCAGATTTGTCATCACGATTGGAAGTAGACCTGCACAATGTCCAAAACCTTTGTTGAAATGCAAAGATTCTTACAGGTTCTAAAGAACGTACGGATTGGATTCTGATTCTTGCTTGTCCCTTCACCAGTGTGCTGTCTAGACCAGTACAGGGATACAGAGTTGCATCAAGGGAAGATCAGCCCCCACAAATATTTAGTGTTGCAGCAAGTCTGAGTTGACCTTTTTTAATCTGTAAAGTGATACTATGTAGGTGATACACTTTAGAAACATAAAAATGTGTCTCTTGCAGCTGAAGGACAAAGGAGGATGCTGAAGCAGATAAAAAGCAGTTGTGTTTGCTTACATGATCCTTCTTGCAGTAATTCTGTTGAGAATTTAGTAACTAGTGGAGGTGAAAGCTGGTAGGCAGAAGATCCTCCTGTGGAAGTTTATCATGCAGGGTGAGTCAACAGTGGCAACTTGGTTAACCATTTGATGCTGCCAGGTAGGGGTGTGAACATTCTGGTGGAGTGGGACTGAAGCCCCTTGCAGAATGTTGAACTGGTGGTGAGGGGTCTGTTGCCATCAAATTATGGATCAGATGGACAGTTATTTTTTGCTTGAAATTGGATTGTATCCTGGTAGAACTGTATTCTTTTTAGTAACCAAGGCTCACTTGTGAGGTGGAAAAGGCAAAGGTAACAGAGGTTATAGAGGTTATGTTTGAGGTTATAGAGGCATATGCAGAGGACTGGTCAGATGACCCAGACAATACTACATATTGTTGTATTTTAAAATATATGGGCTAATGTACTAATTCTTAACATGGAGGGGATGAAGATTCTGCTCTGGTAGCCTGTCATAATGTCAGTGAGAAGTGATATGAAACTTTAAGGCTTCTAATATGGAGCTATGTTGAACCTGCCCAGATCTTTGTACTGTTGCTCTGAAATACCATCTCAAGGAACAGCATGCGTTCTGTGTCCTAGCCTAGACAGTCCATAGCGAAAACTCCACGTACCTGCCTACTGATAATAATTAAGAGGATCTAGAAACATGAGTTTAAATTACACAAAATTGGTCAAATGGTGCAAATACCAAGAACGCCACATTATCAAAATGATGTCCAGGGACTATGAAATGCTGTAGTCCACCTAGCAGAAAAAAGAATCTGGAAAAGAGCCAAACTTACTGTGCTTCAGACATGTTGAGAGTATGGACATCATCAAGGTCTCTGCAGAAAAGTTGTCTCCAGTTATAAAGCATTTGTACACAGCTGTACGGCAAATACACATGCAGATTATCACTTAAAAGATAAACTGACGTATTTTTTATAATAGTATTTATTAGCTTCTTGACAACATAATTTCTCTTCATTTTTATACTCTACACACTAACGTATATGATTTAGTATGCTGCTCCCTCTTAATACCTTTCTATCACTGGTTGAATTCCAGTGCAACAACACTAACATCAGCATGTTGTGAGACACCTGAGACTGATGTCAGGATCACGTAATATAACTGGAGAGTAGTTCCTCACAGGCAAATACGCAAATGACCAGATGGTCTACATTGTCTATACAAACTTTCTAGTATTTAAAATTTAGAATCTGTCTGATTCTAAAGATCTGTTCCTACACTGAGTGCACTGCACAAGTGCTATGTTCTTTAATAGCTTTTGTTTTGTTTAGAGATCCCCATGCTGAATGGTCCCTGATGAGGAAAAAAGGAGCTCAAAGATACTTTGCCTATTCTACAGCATTTCCTTAACAAAGTTACTTAAACTCTCTGGACCTTAATTCACTTTCTACAATGACAGGTGTATCTATTTCTGATTTCCTAGTCATAAATTATTGTAGGACCCAGTGCTTTTTGAGATAAGCAAACATAGTAGGGCTAGAGAAAACATAAAAATTGTTGTTTTGAAGTGACTTCGCTTAGTGGATGGTTACTGATGGGCAAAGAGAATCACACCTACTCTCAACCACTTGCTTTTTACTATATGCAGGACTTGTGATCGGCACAGGCAAATGTTTG